CAGGCTAGGTGCAAATTGGGGTCTCTTCACTGGGAAGTGGGAGCGTGTCCTCCAGAGCCAGCAGTGCTGGCACTCGGGCTTGCTCCTGCTGCCTGCCCGTCTGTCTTGCTGGGCTCGCTCAGTAGAGGCAGAGCAGTGGGCCCAGGGTGTAATCCCTTCTGGTAGGGCGGCTGTAGACAAGAGTCCAGCTTTATTTGCAGCTTTTAAAGCATTGAACTGCACTTGCCTACATACAGTCAAGCATTTAAGAGTGTTCTTGTTATTTAAGTACACAAACAGGCTCAATGCAGAAAAACCGGGCTCAAGTACCTCACTGAAGGGGACCTTGGTGATCTATTTCTCAGAAGTGCTGAGCACTCATGGGCCAGGAGGCCAGGGAATGTTGTTGGGCCTTCATTGCTTTGGCAATGTAATGCAAATGTGGTTGTAGGAACTCAGCTTTGTGCTCTTAGGTTTGAAAAACTTAGCCCTTTTTTTAAGGGCTAAGTTTTTAAGGCAAAGACAGAATCCAGTCTGGATTCTCTGTCTTGGTTCTGGACCAGAAAGACTTACAGAAGCAGGCATTAATTGGGGAACCCCAGTGCTTGGATCTTTATAAGTTGTTGTTTTGCTTTGTTTGCGTTTGCAAACAAAAATACCCGTTTTAAGCAGCTCTCAGAAGTGTGCATAGTTTAAAGATTTCCTTGTCTGATTGAGTGCTTTATACTTGACAGGCGGCTCGTCTGTGCGGGATGGATGTTTGAAGTGGTATTTCTTTGAACAGCAGCTGATCTCTCAGGTTAGAGAATGCAACCTGATTTGGGGAAAACTAGCACATAAATTGCCTTCGTGCTGCTAAGACCTGCTGACACCACAAAAATAGGTCTTGACAAATATTTTCTTTGGGCCACAGCTCATCTTGTGCAGTGTGTCAGATGTGCTCTTCCTTTCTGTTCCCTCATTCTTTACTATTGGGGCATTGGCAGAGGAACAAGTAACTGCCTTTTGAGAGTCCAGTGACTTCCACTGCTTGTCCTTCATCTCAAGCAATTATCTTCTCTGTCTAGGACATAAAAAGAAATAGAAATTGCTGGGGAAATAGGGAATTTCCCTACTTGCCACCTCCTCTATCAAACAGAAATCCTGAGTTGCAAATAACAGGATGACAAAAATCAGCTAGGCCTAATCCAAAATATTTTAAAGGAGTTTTTTTGATCATTGTGACTTAGAGACCACTCTTCTTCTGCAGACACCCTCAGTAGTTTGCATGTGCAGGTGCTCAAACGGGAGTGAACAATTGCATGCGGTCTGAATCGCGACTTATTGCGACTGATGTGTTTGCAGGCTCACGCGGAGGTGAGGACAGCGGTTAGGCAGAGCACAGCATTGAAAAGCAGTGAGGTTTCGGCACAAGTAACTTGTGCACAGGCTTAAATAAACAGGACTGCAAATCACAGCCCAAGTATTTTCTCTGTCTATGCTGATGTTATTTCCATAGCAGCTAATTAGGCCATAAACCAAAGATCGTGACTTCAGGTGGCATGTAAGTAGAAGGAGATGAGCTATGAAGTATTGAAGGTTTTTTTTCCATGCAAATTTTCTTATTTATAAGGGGAAAAGAATGAAAATGAAAAAAAGAAAACCCCGAAGTCTGCTCTCTGAGTGGAATTGCTTCTGACTGGAATATTTCTCAAAGCTGTGTTGAAGGCAAAGTAAATCTTTAATGCAGTTACATGGATGGCTGCGAATCCTGACAGACCTTTAAGTTCAGATAGGTATGGAAACCAGTCTTTATCTTCTTACTCTTTAGTGAGTTGATTTGATGTGTCTTAGTTCGTGTTTGGGGCCTGTGGGTTGAAGTCCGACTTGTCTCTGGAAAAACCTTAGGCCGTTCTTAAGACCTTCATATACTTCACCTTCACGTGTATCAAGAGGCTTACCAGGAGAGCTGCAGCAAGTGAGCGTCAGGCCCTCCAGTAGCTTGGGGTGGGCAGAGAGGAAGGGAGCTGGCACGTGGTGATCAGATGTCTCCATGGTTTGGCCTGTGGATGGAGTCTTGCTCTAAAGGTGCTGAGAGAGCACGGTCGCTGCGTGCTCTAAGTGCCCCGGTCGTGTTCAGACAAGGCTGTTTGCTCTCTGAGCAGAGCTGCAGACCTGTGGCAGTGTGGGTCCCCTGTGACGACTTCGCAGATGCTGATGGCTTAGAAATCCTGTCCCCCCTTCCCTTTGGCTCTGCACTTTTAGTCACTTATATTCACGCAAAATGAATATACCAAAGCGATCAAATCAGAGCTGCCGTCACAGGGTTTCTCTCCTAGCAGAAGCAGCTGCCCTGGCCCTGAACTTTGGTTCACCTGCAAGTCAAACGAGGTCACATTTCTGCTGGGCTCAGACTTTGCAAGACATACATTTTTTGGAGCATTGCTGCTTCAAACATAACTAGGCAGTAGCAGCAAAAAGGTATTATGTTTGCGCCAGGGGGAAAAGACGGAGCAGAAAGCAGGGAGGATTCCCAGGCAGGTGACTGCAGGAAGCACAGACGGGGCTTGGCGGTTTGGATTGATGTTCTCATCTGGTGGTCTCTGCATGTGCGTGAAATGAAAGCGTTAACCATTTGGGGTGCCGTAATAAACATCTCACTCATGGTTTGTAGCGTGCTAGGGCCTGGAGCAATGCTAATAACGCCTCAAAAGTCACACTCACCTGGTAATATTTGACCTTAGACTTTTTTTTCACTGAAATGTTTATGAAAGAGTGGCAGTTCCCCCTCACACGTGTGTGTGTGTGTGTGGGTATGCGTGCTCCTGCATGCCTCCTCCTCACAGAACCGGGGTAGATAACACCCTCTGCAACTATGTAGGATTTTTTTTTTCTTATTCTGTGGACCACTTCTTAACTGCATTTAGTACAAAATGGGTTCTTTCATTGGGAAGGCTGAAGAGTTAAGCAGCATTTCAAACACAGCCACAAGAAGCGCTAGCAGAGCGGAGCCGGGGCGGTGGTGAAAGGAGGTCGCTGGTGAGGAGGTGAGTTACTGGCTGTCGCTTGTGTGACCTGAGGGGAGCCGTGTGTTTTACCTGTCATCAGGAGGGTGAGGTTATGGAGCAGAAGGAGAGCAGTGTTCAAAATGGACAAAATAATGTATGATCTAAAGTGGTAATGAAAAAAACATTGGTTTTGACTGATAGAGAATTCAGGCCTTGAGGCAGTACATGTGGTAATGCAAGACGGAGATGGAACAGGGGAGGAAGCAGCTGGGTTTGCAAAGACACCATGGTGAGCAGCAGCTGTAAGGAAACTTGGAGTGCAGTTGCTTTAGGAAGGCAGGGAGCATGCGCTGGGGCCCTGGTACCTGCCAGCTCCTGCGGGGAGGTGCGACGGGGCTGGGGAAAATGGCTTGTGGTCTACAGCTCAGAAAGGGGAACCTTTGTGAACCAAAGAGATTTTTCTCAGCGAGGATATTGATACCCCCATCCTTTTGTGGTCTCCACCTGAGGCTTAGGCTTCATCCAGCGTTGTGTCAGCGCTGCTTCGCCTCAGCCAGGTTGTGCTTTGGGCTTGAGGCCCTGAGAAGCTCTGCTCCCAGCCCTCCTTCCAAGGCTGTGGGACCAGAGCTGCTGCAACGCAAGCGCTGAGCGCATCGCCAAAATGGAGGTAGATCAACCCCTGCTAGGGACACTGCACAGTGGTTTCTTTCATTGTACAGGAGTTAATAGGCATTGGCCATGGGACAGGAACATGCAGGTGCTTTGGGGGAACGGAAAGTGGATGGAAACAGAGCTGAACTGAAATCACCAGCTTGCAGCTTGTGGAAGACAGGGGCAGAGGTGCTGCTTGGTACAGCAGGGAAAGAGAAGAGCCCGTTGGAAACTCGGGCTGCCTCTTTGGGACCAGCCGAGCCCCCTGGGTGAGGGGGTGTCCTGGCTGCGGCCAGGGCTTGTGCTGCCCAGAAGGGGAGAGGGGGGAGCGCTGCCTCCAGGCCCCCAACACCTCTCATCTTGGAGACAGGGCCATTGAGAGGTGGAAAAATCACAGCTCTTCCCAGGCTGCTGGGAGAGGGGGCACAGGGGCTATTGGCCTTGTGTCCTGGGTGCCAAGCTCACACGTTCCTGATCTGCAAAGGAAACAAAGGAGATAATTAGCCTCTTGCTTTGTAGTTTATAAATGAACAAAATGAGCAGGTGCTTGGTGGGGCAAGCAGCTTAGGCTCTGTGCAGAACCGGCTCCCTTTGCTTTTACCTGCATGTTTTGTAAGTAATTGATGCCGTGGTCTGCACTGTGTGTACTGAGCCGGGCAGGAGGCTCCGTGCGAGAAACCTGGTTTCGCGGGTGCTGGAGCGCGTCCTGGGACGCTGCCGCGGGGCCGAGGCAGGGGGCCCCGCTCGCCTTCGGGGCGCCCCAGGCCAAGCGCGTTTTTGCCGCCCGGGACTGCGGGCTCTGCTGCCTGGGCTGCGGAGGCGCCGCGGGGCGCGCGGAGAGACCCGCGCTCGCCGCAGGGCGCAGCGGAGGGGCCCCGGGCAAGGCTCCCCCTCTCTCCCGCCCCGCAGCCCCGCGGTGCTGCCGGGCGGAGCTGGGGGCTCCGGGGGCGGCGCG